TTTTAGCTTTTTGTGTCTAGCTTTTAGCTTTTCGCTTCTAGTCATGCTTTTTAGTTATATGCTTTTTAGCCATGTGGCTTTTTAGTTATATGCTTTTTAGCCATGCGGCTTTTTAGTTATATGCATTTTAGCCATGCGGCTTTTAGCTTTTCGCTTTGTCGCACTTTTTGAGCGTGCTCTGGCTTACACGCCATCTCCTCCAAAACCATGAAGAGAAACGCCACCTGGTCTCGTCAAACTTTACTTCTATTTCTATTTCTTTAGTTTATTTTATTTTCCGTTGAGAGTTTCATGTTTCGAGTTAAGTTTGCCTAACGCCGTATCTCCGAAAGAGTGCCGTCTAAAACTTATTTTCATTCTCTTAAACTAATTATTTCCTCACTTTCTCTCTTTCTGCAACTTGTGTGTGAATGCGTGTGTTAGATTAGTTTATATGTCTTAGATTTATCCAATAAAGCCTTATTTATATTGAAAAGAGAAGTATCTTGTGTTTTGTGCTCACAAGTTAATGTCTTAAACTGCCGACCTTGTTACCGTGCTAATTAATAGTGTTTTCACTGTATTTTGGATATAGATATCCATTGCAGAATTGATGTCATACGGCTCGTTCAATGACTCGCTGGCCGTCTCAGTGATCAGCCATAAAACAGTGATTCTGTCCAAATTCCCTTACATATTATTGGTGGAGTTCCCTTTAAAATCTTAAATGATTCCCTTTGAGCTAAATTGACCTGTTTCCCTTACACCCAAAATGAATTTAAGTAGCCTGAATAAAAAACAAAAAAAAGACATCGGCTGAACTCCACTGAGGACAAATCAGCATGATTAAAAACTTCAGTGATCGCTTTTTTTCTTCAAATAACAAGTCAAGTGAGGTGCAACGGATCACAAAACCCACGGCTCAGATCATATTGCATTATCATATCAGATTTTGAGTAACAGATTGGGTCGTTTTGCAGATGAGCAAACAAAAATATGGTTCTTTATTATTTAAATAACAGAATACTTCTTTGATACCACAGCAAACACTAGTAGCATACAGGGATGTAACGATTCACTCAACTCACGATGTGATTCACGATACTGATTTCACAATACAATTTTCTCACAATTTTTTTTTAACAAAATGAGATTTAAGACAAATTATAAATGAAAAGGTGTCCTGTTATTATTTCTCCAACAAAATGCTGCACATTTCTTTGTGAAATTGAAATGTGTCAAATAATAAAACTTGAAATTTTTAAAC